GAAACGTGTACCTACTGCACTTACAGGCTTGAATCTTTAGTAGGAAATGTTCTAGTCCAGTAAATTTATGTTTATCATCTAATTTATGTGTAAAAATCAGTGTAAGCAGAGGCTTCTAATATGATTTGGAGTGCTACAACTATAATGGTGTATCCCTACTTTTAGTCTGATCCTACAGTTCCCTCATCCATGTCATCCATTCATACCCACTTCTTATATAGGAATCATAAAAACATACTGACTAGAAATTTACCATCATCTATCTTCCAGAAGTTCATAGAAATAGCCTTTTTTGCATACAAATATATATGTGAGCTGTGTTTGATACCATATTTAACATCTAAATTTCCTTTCTTTACGTGGTTCTTCACATAACATGTTCCTGGAGCATGGGATACCTGAACTTCCAGATAACAACTATTACAAATTTTAACAGGAATAGTTTTGAGCTCTTGTCTTACAGATGTTTCTTTCCAGTTGTTCTTCAAGTAATGGTTAACTCAATAAAGCAAATTTACATTAATTACTAGCCTACTACCTGATTTTTCTCCAGAATATTCCTTACAAAATCCCAGGGAGAAATAAGTCTACTATGCCCTCATAATGTTTTCTGATCTGGACAAAAATATATGCAAGCAGGGATTTAGATCTGATATTTTCAGGTTTCATAATCATTATGTTTTCTCTCAGCATAGTTGGAAAATTACGTATTCAGAATAATACATTTATTCTTAAATGCAGAAGTAGAGAAAATCCAATGACACGGTAATTTAAGTAATTCTGTGAAACTAATTCATCTCCTTCATGATTTAATTAAAATAACAGTTTCCAGACTGCAGATCCATCCTCCTCACTACTACTTGGCATATCTGTAAGAAGGCGCAGTGCATGATCCAGGTTCTTCTTCCATCTCAAATAAAACCAAATTATTAGGAGAAAAAAAAGAAAAAGGTGGTAAATAACTCTTGTTATACGGGATAGAAAAAGGATGTCAGCGTTATGACTGATGTGGCTGTGGGTATCTTGAAAATCTCTTTCCTCATTTAGAAGTTTTCTCTCCAGACTACCCTTATTTTTTTTTTTTTTTTTGCTATTGTCGTTTTTCAGAATAGACTTGATATGAGTCCCTGTCTGCTCGGAATGACTGGAGAAATATTCAAGTCTAAAAATAGAACATCTGTGGTATTTTTATCCTGTTTTCTGAGTAAATCCACACTCTGGTACAAGAAATCATCCTTCAAGTAAAAATATAATCGGTTTTTACTGCTATTCATCCTAAACTCAATGGTAAATGGCCATGGTTTTGCACTTTCCTGAGAAAATATGAAAGGGCTGCTGTTCTCTGGATCATCAACTTCCTTGGATTATCCTGTTGAAGCACAACTAATGAACAGATGTGCTATTCATACAGGTTGTGTAGAACTGACTGAGGATAGGCTGTATTTCAGTCTGCTAAGTGTCTCATTAAATACTGCCAGTGATATTCAAAAGAAGAGTACTTGAGCCAGATTCTTTGACAGAGGAGTCTTACAGAGCCTAGTTAGTAAAATATGAATAAAATATGAACTTCCTGAAGTGATACAACCACTGGGAGAGAAAACTTATTTGTGGAGGCAAAGAATTCATTGCTACTTTGGTAAGGGTCTCTAGCACTGTAAACAACTGAGAAGAGAGGGAAATGCAAGTTCTGAATCATATCTCAGCACATCTGAAATGTCTTAGTGACCACAGTCTTTCCACTTGATTATTCTGAGTTTCCACTGCTGCAACATTTTGCTTGTTTTGAAAGAAGCCCCTGATCTTACAGGATGTTGGATGTGTTGCCTTGAGAGGTGAATAGAAATAATAGCAAAGCAAGCATAGGAAAGACCAGAAGAACAAAAAGAGAAGGTTAAAAGGGAAGTAGAATAATTCGTGGTGTAGAAGTGAAGTAAGTACTGAGAATAAGAGTGTAGTTCAGTGTTAATCACTGCACAGATTACTGCAGGAAGGTGAGTGTTGGACTGAGGCCAGACCCTGCCAGTGTGAATTGCAGCAACTGGGGAAAAGCATAAATTTATATTGGGCATAGAAACATAAATGAAGCTCTGTAAATCTCATGTTCCCTTTGCATGAAAATGTCTTAAGCTGTTGTGCATTTTTTCTGGCACTGTATACATAGCTAAGCAGTAATGCATATTTCTCACTGTAAAACAGGACAAATCTGTGTGACAGCATACCTTATGATACAACATTACATTACCATCAAAAATAGGGATAGGTAGTATTCTCTCTTTGTTCTAGCAAAAATATTATCCCCTATCAATGTGAAGAAACAGAGGAAATGTAATAGCTCTTAAATAAAAATTACTCTTTGAATGCTTTGAAAATAAAAAGCTGGCTGCAAATACTTAAAGCTTCTTTTTTGCTTTTAAATCAGTTAAATATTGGATCAAGTAAGACCTCTGAGCTAGATTGAATGTAGTTACGTGATTCCTATTATTTTAGAAAGGATTTTAAAAGGCAAAAAAAAGCTATTCTGCTTCTCCCATTGTCAGTTACATGTGTCTTATGTGTGCATAGAATCGTACACCACTGTTTATTTCTCTTTGCTCAAGAACATGCTTTAGCTATTAAAAATGAAGAGTGCTCAAAAAGGAATAGCAAAGTTATTGGTCTGTTTCTAATTGTCTTTTTTTCTCAGATGACAACTGAATTTTTCATTTTAACAGTCATAAGATAATAACAAGACAATGCATCTGAAATTTTGAAAGAGAAGTAAAAGCTAAGTAAGCCATTATCTTTTCCTCCAAGTCCTTGAAACATCTCAAAAAAGAAATAAAAGGGTGTTCAAATCCTACTGATAAAAAGCAACACAAGGCTTGTTAGAGAATGGAGTGACTGAATTCTGGAAAATGCCCTTAGAATTAAACTTTACTGATGTAGGAGTATGTCTAGGTGCTCCTAATGACTCAATAAGTTTACCTATGATAACTTTGGTATTTTTATGGCTTCATGTATGTCCTTAGCTTAAGTGATGGTAGGGGTTTCATCCATGACTTTGGTATGCTCCTGTGCCAAGTTACAGAAGAATCTGGGTTTTGGTATTGGAAATGAATTTATGGAATGTTTTAACTGCATCCAAGAGCACCCAAATTTTGGACTGCTTTTGTGCTGACTGAAGACATCGTATTTTAATGGCATTTGGGATGACTTTAGTGATTTTTTTCTATGTTTTTCCCTTCATATTGACTATGGAACTTGAAGTATTGTGATTGCTGAGAAAGCAGTTAGCTCTAAGTGCCATTTATATGTTTCACAGTACTCTTGGCAAGACTCGATGCCTGACATTCAGTATATTTATTTGGCTGATCCTCCACACTCCCCTGTATAGTCATAGGTCATCTACTGACATGGGTGGGATTACAGGTATGGGCAGCAACTGATGTAGGCAGGAGAGACACACAAGTACAAGGTTAATGTGGGTTGTGCTGCTGGGGATCTAAAGGGAAATAGTCACCGAGCTCTCTTGGTTTCTCTGTGGAGGAGGACCTAGGCAATGAAACAAATGCCTAACCCACTTGCTGCAAATGTTGAATTTGTCTCCAGCTGCAAACACCTTGAGGCAAAGTGTCTGGTGTGAGCGCTACCCTTGGTTTCTTCTCGATTCAGTCTTTTCTTTCTCCATGAGGGGAAGTAGGAGTGCCTGCAGTTTGCACGGAGATGTTAGAGTTGGACGTGTAGTGTCAAATGTGGCCAAGCTACATTTTAATGGCGATACCTTACAGAGCGTGCAATGTGCCACAGCTTCAATTTGCCAGGTGCAAAAGGAATAGGCAGTTTATACCCTGCTCGTGTTGCAGCAGGAAGAGTGAATTTGCTGCAGGGATTTGAGGTGTTAACTGTCAAATACACAACGGTACCCTCTAGTCATGAACTAGGACCTACTTTCTGCTTAGGTACAGAATTATGAGTGAAAGTTAATTTGGCTCAATTTTTGAGGTGGCTGCGGGAGCCTGGGCGTGCCGGGCAGGAGCAGAGGGAATGTTTGCTCGTCCTGCTGGGGGGCTTGGGGCCGAGCGAGGCAGCGGCGTGGAGGTGCGGGCAGCTCTTCTCTTTTTCTGGGAAATTTGATCCCGGCTTGGGTTTGGAATCCTCCGAAGGAGCCCAACGCAGCGTTTCGCTTTCCTTGAGGGCAGGGGAGCAAAGGCAGCATCGCTGGGGCGGACAGCTTGGTCCGCGGGCCCGGGAGTCACCGGGAATATCTGGTCCCCAGTAAGTGGGGCGTTGATGGGACGCGGGGAGCGAGGCGGGGGCGCGGAGCGGGGCGCAGTGCGGGCGGCGGCCGCCAGGGGCCGGCGGCGGGCCGGGAGCGGCGGCAGCGCCGGGCGGCGGCTCCGGAGCAACAGGGCCGGCTCGGAGCGCCCGGGGCGCTGGCCCAGCTCTCGGCTCCCGAGCCCCGGCTGCCGGCTGCCGGCTCCCGCTACCCTCGGCCGCCAGCAGCGCCTGCCCGCGCTCCGACCGGCGGCTCCTCGGCCGCGTCCCCCCGAGCCGCACAACAAGTGGATGGAGCGGGCGGGAGCCGGCTGAGCCCCGGACGTGTCGGGGGCAGGAGCCGCACGGAGCCACCCCCGTCCTGCCGCCGCTGGAGCCCGGCTCCGCGCACGGATTACCCAGCGCTGCTTTACAGACCTGCTGCGGGAGCCGCACTCGCAGAGACTGGGGATCGCGCCTGCCCCTTCATTCCGCCTCACACACACAACAAGCACACGCACACCGCCTTCGATTTTCCCCCTGGGGACGAGAGCCGCGCTCGCTGCCTTGTCGCCGATGCCGAGGCGAGCGGGAGCGGCTGTGGCGGTGACGAGTGCCCGCAGCCCCGGCCGCCTCCCCGGCTCGCTGCCCGCGCTCTCCCGGCAAGGAGGGGCAGGAATAAGTCGTCAACCTGTGGTGCGCACTGACCACAGCCACCTGCGACTGTGGATCAGCCGGCACAGCCTCCTCAGGACTGCTGTCACCCGCTCCTTACACTGGCGGCGACAGCGCTGCTATTTCTCTGCCTAGGATCAGTAAGTATAACAGCGTTTTTAGGATCTTCTTCTGCATGACACGTAGGTACGATTTTAAAAATAGCGTCATTTAATAGATCGCGCTCACCTTCTCTCGTGTATTAATAGATGTGGCTATAAATGAGGCTTCTGTTTCAAAGGGGGGTGTGAGGGGCTGTGTATTTGTGTGTGTGTGCTTGCATGTAGATGTTGCTTCAGTGCACCTGCAGTTGTTTTCTTGACATCACGGTATTTTCACTTGGCTGAGCATTGTACGTGCCTGTTTCCAAATTAAATCCAGGGAGATGTCCATTGTGATCGGAACACAATTCTGCTGTAGATTAAAATGTAACATTCTCACATTTGATGTGTTTCTGCAAATACAACAAAAGCTCTTCGTGTAGATACATTTATTCTTTAATGTTTCATATGGATATATGTAGGTGTATCTCTTACGTATGTGCTCAAAGACCTGAATGCATTGTGTGTTGCAGTATTTTTATTAGTGTTTATATGTGTTGGTGTTTCAGAAGCATGCATATGTTTGTGTATGGATGCAAGTGCTTATATGGGTGGGGATTTTGTATCTGTCTCTATATATATGTGACATACCCACCCACATCCTTACCCACAGAGTCGTTCAAAATCTCTGTGCATGTGATGTGGGTGTGTGTGTAATGTAGAAGTGTGAATAGTGTGGGCAGGAGAAGATTTGAATGCCATGGTAATAGATGACACAGTTTCATTTGATCGGTATGACCTTTTAGGAAAACAATCCAATATTTTCCCTTTTTGTTTTGTTTATTTTTGTGTGTTTGTGCATGTGCCTCAGGTTAAGTGCTTCTTCTGCATGACCATAACCAAAGGGTGACCCATCCACTCCCTTATGTCCTATGGGGACCTCAGAGCCAGTTTCTCAGTCTTCATCTCCTCCTCCTCCTCCACTCCTCCTCCTCCTCTTACCACTGCTGCTGATGCCCTGGGTGCTGCTCCCAGGTTTGAGACATTGTTGACAGGCTGAAGAAAGGATTTGCAAAGACCTCCTCACTGTGTAAATGAAGTGATGGCTGGAATTAACCAACTCTCCAAGTAAAGATATTAAACAGTAAGCTTGCTAGGCCAAAGCATTACCAGGAACAAATAATGAAGAAAGAGACTATTTGCATTTGGTTTCAAAGATGAGCTAAAACCATCTGTGGAGAACAGGTATCCTTTTGTTTGCATATTTTTTTTTTCCTGAGGAATGCAGCCTTTATAGCCCGTGAGGCAGTCATGATCCTGATCAGATACAGCTGTGGTTGCTGCAGGAGATAAATGAAAATAAAGGGGCTAGGTGGATGGAAGAACAAGGTCTCAGCTGTTCTCTGGTTCATTTTGAGAATTTCATCTTTTCTCATTAGCAAAACAGTGGCTTGTGTCAAACATTCCGGAGAACAAGAAAATGCGGATCTGTGGTTTTCCAAAGTCCAGATTCAGTGTTACAACCGTGTTGCCATACTCGATGCCCGGGGGACTGTCCTCCAAATGCAAATGGCTTTGAACTTCCCAGTGAAAGTTAAGGTGACACCATAAATAGAACAAAACCTTATTACAGTAAGCGATTCAAACAAGCAGAAAAGAAGCGGTTTCAAGATGGAGGTGGCCATGGTGAGCGCAGACAGCTCGGGGTGTAACACCCACATGCCCTACGGATACGCGGCCCAGGCGCGGGCCCGGGAGCGGGAGCGGCTGGCGCAGTCCAGGGCGGCCGCGGCTGCGGCCGTCGCGGCGGCCACGGCGGCGGTGGAAGGTGGGGCAGCAGGTGGAGGGGGGCCGTACCACCACTACCATCAGGAGCAGAGTCGCGGGGCGTCCTCCTCGCACGGCGGGAGCGCGTCGCGCAGCAGCCTGCCCCACCGCCAGAGTGGTAAGAGGAGGAAGAAAGGCAAAAAGAGGAGCCACCACTTGGGGAGTAGGGAGTGTGGGGCCTCCTTCCCCTGCTCTGAGCTGCTGCCGCTCAGCGGTTCTGAGGAGAGAATACTGAAGGACTTGAGTGAGGAGGAAGAGGAGGATGAAGATGAGGATGAAGACGATGAGGAAGAAGGAAAGCTCTACTACAGTGATGACTATGGGGAGGATGAGTTTTCGTACTCGGACCAGCCACCTGATGATGGTGGAGGCCCTGGGGGTTACAGCTCTGTCCGCTACAGCGAGTACGAGTGCTGTGAGCGCGTGGTGATCAACGTGTCGGGACTGCGCTTTGAGACCCAGCTGAAGACATTAGCTCAGTTCCCGGAGACGCTGCTGGGGGATCCAGCCAAGCGGGGCAGATACTTTGATCCTCTCAGGAACGAGTACTTCTTTGATAGGAACCGACCCAGCTTTGATGCCATCCTGTACTACTACCAGAGCGGGGGTCGGCTGAAGAGGCCGGTCAATGTACCCTTTGACATCTTCTCTGAGGAGGTGAAGTTCTACCAACTTGGGGAGGAGGCCATGCTCAAGTTCAGGGAGGATGAAGGCTTTGTCAAAGAGGAAGAGGAAAAGGTTTTGCCGGAGAATGAGTTTAAGAGGCAGGTTTGGCTGCTGTTTGAGTACCCAGAAAGCTCCAGCCCAGCCAGAGGCATTGCCATTGTCTCTGTCTTGGTCATCTTGATCTCCATCGTCATCTTTTGTCTGGAGACTTTACCAGAGTTCAGAGATGACAAAGAATTCGTCATGTCCCTGAGCTTAGGGAAGGGGCTTTCCAACGAGTCTCTTCGCCTGGACGCTGGGGAGCACACCATCTTCAATGACCCTTTCTTCATTGTAGAGACCGTGTGCATCATTTGGTTCTCCTTTGAGTTTACAGTGCGCTGCTTTGCATGTCCGAGCAAAGCACACTTCTTCAAGAACGTCATGAACATCATAGACATTGTGTCCATCTTGCCTTATTTCATCACCCTGGGCACGGACCTGGCGCAGGAGCAGGGCAGTCAGCAGGCCATGTCCTTTGCCATCCTGAGGATCATCCGTCTGGTCAGGGTGTTTCGCATCTTCAAGCTCTCCAGGCACTCCAAGGGTTTGCAGATCCTGGGTCACACGCTCAGGGCCAGCATGAGGGAACTTGGCCTCCTCATCTTTTTTCTTTTTATCGGAGTCATTTTGTTTTCCAGTGCTGTTTACTTTGCAGAAGCTGACGAGCCTGCCACCCATTTTCAAAGCATCCCAGATGCCTTTTGGTGGGCTGTAGTGACCATGACTACAGTTGGTTATGGGGACATGAAACCCATAACTGTGGGTGGGAAAATAGTCGGGTCCCTGTGTGCCATTGCAGGAGTGTTAACCATTGCTTTACCAGTGCCAGTGATTGTCTCCAATTTTAACTATTTCTACCATAGAGAAACTGAGAATGAAGAACACACACAGATGATGCAAAATGCGGTCAGTTGCCCTTACCTCCCAACAAATTTACTGAAGAAATTTAGAAGCTCATCATCTTCATCCACAGAGGATAAATCAGAGTATTTGGAGATGGAAGAAGGAGTTAAAGAATCTCTTTGTGTAAAGGAGACTAAAAGTCAGGACACGGGCAATAGCAGTGAGTCAGAGAAGAAAAACTGTGTAAATTCAAATTCTGTGGAAACTGATGTGTAATTTTGAGCGTTTCCAAATATATTTATGCATTAAAGAGTGCAGTGAAAATAATGAAATATGCAAACAAGAGTCTGCAGCATACAATAGTATGCCATTTAATGGTTAAATACAAATAAAAAGCATTGCTAAACATGTATTACATATCAAGTAAATGGTACAACTTGAGGAAAGGATTGCTAGATCTGATACATTTTCAGACTTTATATTTTTATTAGAATGCAAGTGTTTTGCACATGAGGCTAAAAAATTTATTAAAACCAAGTCAGTTTTAAAGTGGGTGCATGAACTGTCGACATCACTAATAACAGCTCTGTGGTAAAAGTTGGCATTCAGAGGTATTTACTATGTAAGAAACAATGAAGTTTGGTAGTCATTTATCTATTTATCAGTGCTTTAATAGCAGCTACCATAAATCATTGGATACCATAGTCATTGTTTTTCAAATGGTAAATTTATTGTAAAAAGATATTCTACAGAAGATAGATCTAAATTTTTTTTCTTGAAATCTATAATGCTTGTTTTTAACTGGAAATTTACTTTGAAAAGGCTGTTGACCCTCCAGAAATTGTTTATTTTTATAACTCTCTTTGGAGGCATTGCAGCATTTGTTGTCTAATAATGAAAGAAATGAAGTAAGAGAATCGTTAAACCTGGTCTGACTGCAAAGGCAAAATGACTGGAATGCTCTTTTGCACTACTTTATATGCTGGAGATATATTGAAAGAGACTTCATACTGTGAATGTTTACTAATGTAATAGTTCAATGACAATCATTGGAAGAGTGAATTCTGCATCATATTTTATTGTTTCTTCTTTCTCTGTGATGCTGATGGCAAAACAGCTAACATTACATTAATTCCACACTCTTTTTAATTATGGATATCTGTGATCTGGAAAAGGATTGTGAAGTAAAATTTTCTAATCAAATTGATTTGAAATCGGTGTTTTCTCCTGATGCCCTCAAGAAGTATCAACCTAATTTATATCTTTTTTTTTCTGCTTAATTTAGCATTCAGAATCTATGATTAGTACATGCACTTTGTCAGTATTGAGGAAATTCCGTGTATGGGAGGAGAAGGTAGAAGTAATAAGATACTCAGTTGCTACAGTACTGACAATTAAGGATTGCTAACTTTTAATAATGTGCTATTATTGGTGCTGCATTTTCCCTTGATCACAGCTTTCACCCATGTATATTTGAAGCAACATTTAAGATCTAAAACAGGCATTTAGGGCTTCAAAATGAACGTATTGGGTCCCATGGAGTCCTTGTGAAAATATTCCATGGTTTCTTTTCACTGATTCTTAGGCCAGCTGTGTTTTACTATGTGTCAAAACCTCCCATTGCCCTTCCTAGGAGGTTCAGGTAGGTAAAGGTTACCTGGCTTGCAGTATATTCCAGAGTCCAGAATGAGATAAGTAAGATATTGCTGCACACAACATAAATAACAGATTCAGAACGAGTTTTTTTTTCAGACTTACCATTACCAAGGGAAGGCACAATTAAACTGTAACTGTTTATGAAGAGGCACTGTGGAACATTCCAGATGATAAAACTTGAACCAAATTGGCATATGCACTTTAAGGTCTGGGATAGGCTATTATGGGAGAAAAAAAGGACTTACCAACACCACAGAATTACAGTAGTTTGCAACATTAATTGAAAGCTGAGTGGAGGGTTTTTGCAGGGGGAGAACTTGTTAGTGACTGACTTACAGCAACAACAAAAGCACTCTGAATTGGGCATCCACGATATTACACATGATCCATTAGATAAGTCTTGTTTGCTGAATCCAGTGGCACCAAACAGAGCTGCAGACATAGGCTTCTCTTTAATGGTTGGGTTTTGCCTTCATAGTTTTTCTGTGAGTCTCTTAAAAAAATTTCTCTGCTTGTCTTCTTTTGCATTGCAGAAAAATAAAAAAAAAGACACACACAAAAGACTGCGTTGTGCTGAGCCCTGCTTCAAAATGTGTGTTTAAGTGTCTGATTCCTAATTTAAAAACCTTGAACAGGCTTCACTATATTTTGGATGTGAAGCATTAAAAAGAGCTCATTTTTATTATGGTGGTGTTAATTCCAACTGTGTTTTGAATGAAGCAATTCAGGAATTTTATGTAACGAGCATTTGCCAAAATTTAATATTACATTTCACTCTAGCTCACCTGAGTTAAATGTGCTAAATACTTTTTTCTCCAGGGGCAGTATCAGCAGTGAGGATGAGCCAGTAACAATCTGTAACTGGAAGTATTTCTTTCACAGATAGCAGTTAATGGCCTAAAGGGCACGAGGGTTCTCTTCCTGAAAGGCTTGGTACTAGTTCTGTCTGACACCAGAGACCATTTGGTGCCTGGGACCATGGCAACGAGGTAGAAGTGAAAGAAATACTGACTAGGTAAATAAAGAACTTAGAGAAAATAAGTAGTATGTGTTTGCAGTATTGACTGGTTGAAAAGGGAGGTGGTTCATAAGAGATGGGATTTCAGACCTCTAATGGAAATAAGAAAACTCTTTGAATCACTTTTAAAATACACTCATACTGCAGACACGGAGCTCAGCATGAGGGGAGTGCTCCAGCCCGTTGTTCAGCTGCTCTGCTCCCTTTTAATTTAAAACAAGTGTGCAGTGTCTGTGCTGTGCTGTTTTCAGAGCAGTACCTTGCCCTCAGAAGGAGAAGCTCTGACTGTAGGGTCTCGGTGCAGTCGGCAGAGCAGCATCCTGGCTGTGTCTCCTACTCACTGCAGTGCTGTGGAGCTCTGTCCTCAGGTGTGGTGGAGCCACCTGCAGAGAATAAACCTCTGCACTTGCTCATGATAAATAAGAGCTCTCTAGAGCTCAATGCTAGGCTGTGCTATCAGTTTGGTAGGGCATTTTCAATCACAGAAAGAATTGTGCATTCCAGAATGGAAGCAAATAGCTCTTCTTGGGTTTATAATTTGATTATTCAACTATCTATTGGTCCAGTCACAATATAGTTTTGACATGCCAAAGTCCTACCACTAACATGCTACAACCCAAAGATACCAAGTGCTTTACAAGAAATAGAGATTTCTGTGAAATATTACTTTGGTTGGAATAGTGTGCCAGAGAAACCCTCTAATTGAGCTTTTATGGCTCCAAATTACTACTCCTGCTTCTATCAGACCTTTCCCAGTGATACTGACAACTTTCAGAAAAATTATTTTGTTGTGACCTGGGAATTTTACATTTTAAATCATGGTGGTAAAATGCATTCCCAATGTAACTGATGTGAATGAATTTATACTGGGTATCATTTTAGTTCTACTAATGTAGTTCAAATGATTTCACATTGACATACATTTCAGCTAAAAATAATGCAAAATGAGATATTTCAGGTTGGCTTGCAGTGGTGAAAAAATTTGGAGGAGTTCCATTAGAATTCATGGAAACACAGAAACACCAAATCTGATTTCAAGTATAGTCTGATACTTAACAGTGTGCTGGCATTTATTTAAAGATTTTCCTGAGTATTTTTATAGTAATCTTGAGTGCCAAGGCCAGACTCATAGGGAGAGAGTTTTGCCAGCTGAGGCGTTGGATTTAATGGCTGACTTCAGAGATCCATAAATTTTTTTCTTTATTACATTTCTCATGTTGCATTGGTTCATTGAAAACATCAGCCTGGATGCTGAACTTTACACCAAAAGAAGTGTTGTGTAACTCAGTTAGAGTGAAGGTTTTTCCTGTTCAGTTAAGCTTTCTAGAATGATTCCACAAGAGGCTAATTCCATTTGATGGAAAATATAATTTGTTTGCATTTGAAGGAGAATTCTTCTGCTTACATAGGTTTTCGTGTGTAGAATCCACCTCTGTGGTGTTCATGTAATGCAGAATAAATCTGGGAGATCCAGGGGATGAAAAGCTCCACCGTGATCATGATTACATCTAACTCATGACAATAGTGTCCTTGTGTTTGGGGATACTAATAGGCATTCTTGTGGTCATAAAAATTGGGATTTGAGTGTGTTTTCAGTCTGTAAAGCTTTTTAAATAGATTTTGCATTATACTGGTGTAGAAAGAGTTTGGGATCAGGCCATAACCTTGAATAAAGGATCTTAGAGTGTAACTCCTGACATGGAAGATTCCTGCCAAGTTTGCTTTCAGGTGTTGAGAGTCATTTGACTTGAGATTTGAAAATTCAGTGCTGAGCTACCCAAGAACATGAGGTACTTCATATTTGCATAAGTGTAGGATAAATGCACTATGGAAAATTCCAGCAAAATATCAGAAAGTCTATTCCATTTGTAGCTGGTTCCTGAAAAGTCTTTCTGGCACAGCATTGAAAAACGAAATGTGTCTTTCTGGCCATTCCGGATGCATACAACTAATTCTGAATACAAATTAATTTTTAGCATAATCATTAAACTTTATACATAATCCTCATATCAAATATAATCTACCCATTGTGTCACTGACTTCCTTTATTTTTTACTGGTTCTTTATTTACTTTTTACACCGAGTTTCAAATACGTAAGTGAATATTTTTTAAATTTTAATTAATTGACATGAGATAGTAAGAAATAAAAGCAAATATTAAAAACTCCCCAACTATAGTATCCAGCATATAAGTTACATACTTTTCTTATAATTAAATAATTTAAATAACAGAATAACTTCTGTAGATGTGGCAGGGTATGCACTTTCCTCTTGCTATAACTGTATGATCAAATGCTTCAGATTTTGCAGTGAATAAGATCTAGTTGACAGATTTATCATATTTTTGCACCCCTATTTGAAACAAACACTTGTAGAAAAATTGGAACTTTTGTAAAAATGAACATCTCGTCTTTCTACAGAGACCATCTAATGTGGACAAAGTGATTGACAGATTAATTCTGGGTTACAGTGCATAAATGTTTTGTACCTGACAGCCAGGTACTCTCCGTATTGCTGCCATGCTTTCTGTGTGTTCAGAATTCCAACAAAATTAATTCTGAAGGAAAACTCATTAAAGCATTATGTACTGAGATGGTTGAATTAATTCTTATTTTTAATCCTTTTCTGTACAATTATAATGTGCCTTGAGACCTTTTTCTGCAACAGGCCCTTTGGAAAATAAATACATGAGTACATAACAAGGGAAGAAGAGAAAGCTTACATTACATGTAAAAATATACTAATTGAGGGAAAGTAGGTAAGTAAAAACTTCTTTTATTTCCTTCATTTATGCATTTATGGTGCTGCCAGTAAAGCCAAACTGGGGGCAGACTGGTGGAACTGGCCAGCAGCTGCAGAGTGCTTCATGTGCTGTTTCTCTTCCAGGTGCCCTGGTGTCAGGAGCAGCAGCAGCTGCTGCTGTGGCATCGTGCAGCTGGGAAGATGCTCCTTGTGCTGGGCAGCTCCAGGTGGGGTGGGACAGGGGGCTGGAGGATTTTACCCTGCTTCTACCACAAGTATCCTGCTGAGTGCAAAAGTGCCATTATTGGCCTGGTAATACCATTCAACCTTCCCAGACAGGGAGGCCTCAAAGACTCCAGTCTGCCACTTCCTAAGCTGTGAAGGGTCTCAGGTCTGCATTCACAAAATGTACTTTTCAATACCTGAATTCCACTCATTTCATAAGGAACTGGGCTGTAAAATGCTTCCTGAACTGAGAAACCAGCAATTTGCTTAAGGTCAAAAGGGACACTGTGGTGGAGCAGGTTTCCCAGATGTTACAGTTGTTTTGTGAAGGAGTGTAGAAGGGACAGCACATATTCAAGAGAGATTTTGGTCTCTTTTTGTT